CACAAAATCCAAGTTCAAGATGCTGAAGTTTGGGACATGATCGAATAACATTACATACCGATGGTTCGGTAATGAATTCACACCCTCCAAGATCAAGATATTCCAATTCATAGCATGTACTAGCTACTGCTTCAACAACCTCATCTCCGATATCATTACCAGAAATATCAAAATATTTTAAATTTGGAGAAGATCCGATAATAGCTACAATAAGAGAATTATTTCGAAAAGCCATAACATGGGCGAAATCAAGATACTCTAATTTGAGGTGCATTTGTAGTAATATACTAGCATCTTTGATTTTTCCTCGACTAACCCATATACCTAAGCATCGTAAATTAGAGCATGAGTTTAAAATACAACTTATAGTTCTATCAGTAATCCAATACGCTTCATTAAAATAAAATTCTCTCAAATTATGGTACGACTTTGTAATTTTTATTAATGATTTGTCAGTAATACCATTACAATAAGAAATATTTAGATAATCCAATTTATTGCATGATTGTGCAATTTGATATAGTCCTTCATCAGTTATCATTCGATTATCCCATAAATTAAGATGTTTTAAATTTGGATATGATGAAGCTATTTTAATTAATGTCTTATCACTAATGCCCACACTACTTTTAAAATCTAAATGAATTACATTCGGGCAGTAATTTACAACGGATCTAATTATTTTATGTGTAATCGAATGATAATATGAAATTTTTAAGCTTTTCAGGTTTGAGGCATGGACAGGTTTTTTCTTCTCACATATCAGCTTTATGAAACTTTCTAACCACGTTCGATATCGTTCACAATAATTATATTCAACTGGGAAATAATGTCCGTAATGAATATCATTACCTTTTAACTCAACTCTCCCCCATAGTAGTGGTATACCACACTTGTACCAAAGCTGATTAATAAACAAAGCGAGATAGAGGGATCGATCAATTTCTAAAAAATATAAGATCTGTTCTAGTAATTCAGGTAAGTTAAAAATATTTAGTTGCGCTATTCCCAAATAATGTATATCTCTAATCGAAAAAACCTAATGTTTGGATAATTAATTTTGGGCACATATACTACGTATTTTTAAATTCGTATTAATAAAATAATTTAAAATTTACAATGACCAAAACTGATAAAGCCGTATCCCATATCACTAAACAGGTTCAGATAAAAATATCTTTTATAATTCTTGATTGCAAAGATAAAATCTGTTCTATTTAATGATGAAGCTTATTCATATTTTGATAGACCCTTTGGGTCATTGCTTTGCAATAATATCGACCTTTGGCTTGCTTTATAAATGATCTACCAGGTCTATAAAGCTATTTAATTACTGTATACTGGATTACTTTAGCCAAATTTATTCGGTTTTTCCATAAACGATATGCTTGCTGGATAATAATCACTGATCGATTTTTTTTATACAAAGTTACAAAATATATTACTTAAATTTTAAATTCTTTAAATTTAGAGTGATTAGCTACAGATTCATTTCTGGTTAGATTATTTTTAATACGGAATACAAAGTTTTCCCAATGGTCCTTACTAATAATATCATATCCTAGTATTAATAAACGTCTATGTATATATTTGGGTGGATGATACTTCGCAAATCATAACCAAGCTTCTGGCGTTTTAAAATTATTGATATAATTTAAACTATATTTGGTTAACATGTATCGGGTATAATTATTTTTTGTCTATTCTTTACAAATATCTTGAATATTAGGCATGTTTATATTTCAATTTTATTAACTAAAACTCTTTATTTAATAAGTATGAGCCAGGATCGCTAGATCTTCAGTAGCAGTTGCGGACAATTTTTAGCTTATGGATAAGTGCGGTTAGGAAGTTGGTTTGCATATATAACTTTACTTAAAAAATATCTAATAAGTCTAATTATTGTAAAGCAGGTCCAAAGCAATAAAGCTGAGTTATAGTGAATGAATAAATAAGTTATGAACTAATCTAAATATTCTCATATAAGTCATAGATATCCTCAATTTCAGAAGTATTCTCATTAATTACCTTGGGTGTGGGAGCTAGAGTTTCAGGTTCAGGTTCTGGATCTGTGTCAAGGTCAAAATCCGAAGTATCACCCTCGGCATAATACATTCCAGAATTATGACGATCCATCTTATGCCTCATTGCAACTCTGCTAAGGAATTCGAGATGTTGCGA